TACTTACACAAACTGTTTTCCTTTATTCCTCTTGCCTTCAGTATGTCCTGTGAGTATCAATTTAGACAAACCCTCTTTCCTCATTATGTGTTCTAGAAATTTCAGCTCTTTCTTCTTTTTCCATTGTCTTCGTTGTTACTCATATGTTCAGTTCATGACATTCTCAGCATCCTCTATAAAATCACATTTCTGTTGCTTCATCTCTGACAAGATTGTCCAGCATTCACTGCCATATAATATTAATAATATTAATGTATACTTTTCTTTGTTTATAATTTTCTTAATACGTTGCTTACCTTTTGGAAGATGTCTTTTGCTATCTCAAATGTTGAAATTTTCGTCTACATAATTTATGTTAAGGAAAGAATAAACTTACAAGAATACAAGAAAGAAACTTAACAGCAGTACCTTGTCAATTGTTTTTAGTGAAACTTATATAAATTTGATTGATTGATTTGTTTTCTATGGCTTTGCAGGTTATTTAAGACCAGAAAATTATTCTTTTTTAGATTGTATTTTTGTCGAGGGGGGGATAATAATAATTCAGTGATACAAACATTACTAATTAACCTATAGCTGGGGAGAGAAGAAGTTAGTAAGTGAATATAACAAACCCAACAGGATTTTGAACTCAGTTCTGAATTTAACAATCCAAGCTGTAATCCATTACGTCATCCACACCTCCAAGCTTACAACACCTGGTATTCCCAAGCAGTCACCCATCTAGGCAGGGTCACCACATACTACCTCCAAACCTTCTGACCATGTGTGTGTGTGTGTGTAGAGGGAAACGGGGGTAGCATAATCGGTTGCCCTGGGCAGTGCTTTGTGATCAACATTTTTACCTACATATATACATTGCCAATGAAACTAAGCACAATCAAATATTAAAGAATGAAAAACTTTTGTGGATTTTGATGTCATTCTGGGGATTTTTTTTTTTTGTCTAAATCTGTGAATTTGTTTTGTTCATGTTAAGTCTTGAAAAAAAAACCTATATAAAATTCGTTATTTTTTTTTATACATAATGTTGAATGTGTTAAAATTCTTCAACTTTTAACAAGAAAATCTCATGTGGGTGTAAAGAACTGCTGCCAAACATTGTTGATTTATTTAAGATGGAATAATCTATTATGACATTTATTTAAGATGGAATGATCTATTATGACATTTATTTAAGATGGAATGATCTATTATGACATTTATTTAAGATGGAATGATCTATTATTATGACATGTCTCTATTTTGTATAGATGGAATGATCTATTATGACATGTCTCTAATTTGTATTGCAATACATTGTATTTATTTAAAATTTTTCTAGTTGAATTGTTCATCTTTATTGCATCTGATCCATTATTGTGCATAATTAGGTTACACAATAAAATTTTTATATGAATACGACCTTAAGAAAATTGAGATATAGTAGGGCAGTGGGGGGGGGGTACAAAATCCTTGCACTAGCCCTGCATCTAAGTATTGATCAAGCTCAACATTGCTTAACTTTGGTCATTTTATGGGAACCAATGTTTCAATGTGATATGGCATCAGCTATATATATATATATATATATATATATATATATATATAAGTAGTTGTGTGTGTGTGTGTGTGTGCGTCAGTCGTTCAACTGCTCGTTTGAACTCTCTTCCTACGGACGGGAGGAACCCGAAGGAGGCTACGCTGAAGGGCGGAGTCTTCTTCGGGGAGGTAGAACTGGCCCTGAACCCGTTTATACGGGTTCAATGGGCATATTTTTGGCTGAGCCCACGGGCTCAGAATGCCCACATTAAAAAGGCCTTGTGCCACATGACACCCTTGTGGGGGGTGACTCAATATCGTGTGTGTCTATGTTCAAGGTTATATGAATAGGTCCAACATTTTTTTGATCAGAAATTGTCACTGTATAATATTTGAACTACAGAAAAGTGTTACATTAAAAGCATTGACAAAGGAGGTGAGGCTACTGAAAAAGAAATATTTGCTGTGCAAAATAAATACCATTTTTATCTTTAATTTACAGTCTGACAGACAAACTGACATCATGTGAGTGCTATGAGATTGGATGATGTAGTTTGGTGAGAGTTTTGTAGTAAACAATTTTGTTTTTAATTATTTGCTTTAAGCTGTTTCCAAAATACCAATTCTTCTAAAGCTGAAAATCAGTCTGACATTTTCTACGTGTTTTCTAAAATATCAAAGAGACTTGTAAAACCAACAAAACTTTCATATCGAATGCATCTACCCTATAGACCATGATAAAAACATTAACTGTACATATTGACATATATCTTTATAATTACATATGTAAAGCTTAAATGAATGTTAATTAAGGAATTTCAGTAAAATTTTTCAGAATTTCGTTTTATATTTTTATTAATTTTTATAAGTAATTTGGGCTGATAAACTCATCTTTATTTTTGGAATCATAGTGTTTCGGACATTGCTCTCTCAGACCTTCTTCATGTGTATATTACATCCATTAATCTTTCTTCTTCTTTATGTACCAAGTTCTCTCAACATGTAGGCGGTCATGGCTCTCCACAACTTCCTGTCCTTTGTAGTTCTTAATAAATTTTGTCTTGTTATTTCTCCTAAACCCTGTTCTACATTTCATTTACACAAGCTTGTTAGCCAGGTTATGTGTTGTTTACCTCTGTCTCTATTGCCTTCAATCTGTCCTGTGAGTATCAGATTTTCCAAGCCCTCTTTCCTCATAATGATGTTAAGTTTAAGTTTCCTTTTTGTTCCATTTTCTGTAAAAGCTTGTCATTATTCACATGTTCGGTCAGCGTTCTTCTGTAGAATCATATTTTTGTTGCTACAAGTTGCTACAAGTCACTTCTTCATCTTTGAGGAGACTGTCCAGTATTCACTGCCATATAGGAAGACAGACATCGCATAAAAGTTCAGTACTCTTTTCTTCCCATGAAGTGTCCTTCTGTGTCTTGATATTCTGCTTAGCTTTTGGAATGCGTCTTTATCTATCCCAATGCATCTTCGGATTTCAGCATTGCACTTTCCATCCATGTTAGAAGATTACCCAGAATCGTCTGAGAGAACCTTTTCAACGTTCCATCAGCATGGTTAATGCTAAACTCCTGGAGAGTTACTCATTATGTCTTCTTGGGCTAAAATTTTATGCTGACATGAAGTGGATAGGTTATATTGAATCAATTGTTAGGTATGCAGCTAGAAAAGCAGGTTTTCTGTGTTGTGTTAGACAATTTTTCTTGCCTGAAACTATCTTTCATATTAACAAGTCTATCATTCCTCCATGCTTACAATGTTGCTGTCACATGCTAACAGTTTCTTTTCTTGCACTTCCTGCTTATGGAAAAATTTTCTTGCTTTCCAGTCAACTTTGATCTTCAAAAATTTAATCTCTTTGTCAATTATTTTCTTCTCTTCTCTTGTTGTTCTCACATCTTAATAATGCTTTTCCTGTATTCTTTCACACTCAGTTACCATGTATGTGTTAGTGACTTTGTTGCCTTGTTTAGGGGTGAAATAATTAAAAAAGAAACCTTTTTGCTGCACCCTTTTTTTCCATTTTTTTGATATTCATCTTTCCAAAATGGTGACTTTACAGCAGGAAGTACCAAAGTTATTTTCTTCATTGAAATTTCTATAACAGAAAATAAAGATGAAGATACAAGTCAAAATTATTCATCTTTTGATTGACTTATGCCAATGATGGCCAGAGAGTAGACTATCCAAAACATGATTTAAATAGAGATGAGAATACAAGTTGCATTTAGTTATAGTTACAAATGATGTAATGATGAGAATCTTATGGAATGGTAAATATATAAGACAATTTAGAAAAGTCATTTTAGTCAAAATAAAGTCAATTTTTGTTTCAGTAAATTATTTTCAGCTTTTAATAAAACACCATTTTCCAGGTTGGTATTGTGATCCTGAAGGTTCTGATGTCATACAAGTGCACTGAGTGGATTGTTTAATTTGAAGTCCCTTTTATGTTTATATATTCTTTTCTTTAGATTTTGGAGTGCTTCACCGATCTACTCCTGGGTGGGGAGCATTTTGCATCTTATTTGGTAAACTCCTGCTTCCAATATAAAGATAGTTGTCTGTTTCAGTGATAATTTTTATATTCCTATTAGCTAAATTTCTCTCAAGTTTATTAGTTAGGGACTTTGTTAGTAATATAATGTACCTAGTTTTCGTGTTTATACATTCTTTTTTGATTCTGTTGATTTTGTATGCAGTTTTTTGGGCCATGTATATGAAAGATAATCCTGTGTTCACATAAATAATGTGAATCCTATTCTGTCTCACCACAATGTAGATTATTTTATTCAGTTCACACCAAGCAAGGCAATAATGTCACTAAGATGCAAGGGTCTACTGGGAGTGAAAGAGAGAGAAAAGACTTTTGAAAGAACTGGAAACCTAAAAATGAAACAAGGGATAAACCTTTACTCTTCTTCAAAAGATTGGGAAGGAGTGTGAACAGTATGATAGCTGAACCTATCTACTCCTATCAAAATAAAATCCATTTTTCTGCCGAGGTTGTTGATTGGTAAAACATGTCCAAATAAAAGAGATTTCCAAGTCAGCTTATATATTTACATTACAGTTGCAGATCTGTTTTATTATGATTGATGAAAATTTAGTTAATCTGAGGAAGCAGTGCATCAAAGAGTCACTCCTTCTCCATGAATCAATCAATGCCCAGAAGATATTTGATGGTAATTTCCAATTTTTGATTGATTGAGTCATTCAGTCATTTTCTACAACTCATCGACACTTTCCAGGTTATTTAAAGTTAGAAAATATTTTTAGATTGTGAGATTTGTTTTTTTTTTTAGATAATAATGGCTTAGTGATACAAGTGTTACTAATTAACCCATAGTTTTAGGGAGAAGAGATGGCTTCATTCCTTTCCCAAGGATATTTACACATAAGTAAATATAACAACCCAATAGGAATTGGAACTTGGCTCTCTGATTAACAGTTTTGAGCCATTATTCATTACACCGCATGGCATAGCCAAGGGGTCACCCATCAAGGTACTGACCAGGCTCAATATTGCTTAACTTCAGTGGTTGTATGGGAACCGATGTTTCAAAATGATGTGATTGTAAGCCTACTGTGCACTGGATCAAGCCTTGTAATTTACCAGGTAAAAGTGAATATTTCTAAAATCAATATTTTTACATCAATTTTTTTAAATTTTCATTGAAACCCTTTATTTTAGCAAGATAGACATTTTTTATTTGTACTATTTGAAACCATTTTCAGATGAAAAAAATTGAAAGAAAAAAAGCAGCAAGGTTTTTCAATATTTGCACCAAAAATGAAAGTTATTACAGCATTTAGCAAACAGCTATAAAGTTGTTTCAGTTGCAGTTAGTGCTGTCAAATGTTTCAAATAAAGTGCATTAGTAATATGCTGCACACGTTAATAGAATTCAGTTTTGCATATGTAACATGCACAAAGACATTGACTTGTATATATGTAGTACAAACAATTTCTTTTCTTAACCAGTGATTTTGGTTTGAGCACCTGACGTTGATAATCTACAAGGAATAAAAAGGGTGAGGAAATTGGCTCATGAGGTAAACACAACTGTTTAGCTTTGTGTTTAAGCTTGGAATCCTGACTGCAGATTTGGGGAAAGTTTTCTGTACCCCAAGCTGACTGCAGTCAGTCAGTCTTTTATTCATAGTATAGACACTGAGAATAAATGTTATTCCTAGACTATAATTACACAAAACAAACATTGAAAAAAAATGTCAAAGCTTTTACTGTTTATGTCAACTGTGAAGCATACTTGTAAAATATTCCATAACTAGGCTATAAAAATATTTTCACTCACAAGAAAAAAATGTATTCTATTCTGATTATGCTTGCCCCTCCCTTCGTTAGTTCACACGACCATTACGTCCTGCCAATACTTCATAAATAATGAACTATTGTGTTTTAAACACGTGGATAGAGGGGAAAAGAGACTACCTCGTTTCAGTGAGAAAATGAAAGAAAGAAAGATAGAAGTTGAGAGAGAGAGAGAGAGAGAGAGTATTTTTTTGCTGCCTTATGCTGGCAGAATGTAACAGTTTAATGTGGGGAGACCAAGAGTATGATTCCAGGCCAAGTCCTAAAATAGCCCAGCCTCTACAACTGTCAATTTCACTAGTATCGGTATTACTACCAATCCTCACTACAATGAGAGAGGTACTTCCATGGGCAGCAATTTCCTGAGACCGAGCATCACTCAGTATTTTCAGTTGCACTCTTGTTGAAGACAAAGACACAACTGAGATATGAAATATATATTTTATCTGCCTGGAGACAGATACTACACTTTGAACCCAGCCAAAAGCCTGATAATGATGGCAACCATGATAACAGTGCTATTTTCAAATACATGTTGGACAGTCTCCTCAAAGATGAAGAAGAAACTTGAGGTGACAGAGATATGGTTCTACAGAAGGATGTTGAGGATATCATGGACTGAGCATGTGAGTAACAATGAGTTCTTGGAGAGAATGCAAACAAGGAGGCGGCTTATACTTAACATCGGGAAGAGGTAGCTGAAGTTTCTTGGACACATAATGAGAAAAGAGGGCTTGGAGAATCTGATACTTACAGGTCGAATAGAAGGAAAGAGAGACAAGGAAAAGCAACGCATGACAGGCTTAAGCAAGTGGATGACAGAATGTGGTCTGGGGGAGGTGGCAGAGGGACAAAACTTATTGAGAGCTACAAGGGATAGGGAGGAAGTGGAGAGCCATGATCACCTACATCCTGAAAGGACAAAGCACATAAAAAGAAAGAAGTAACAAACAACAGAAATCAAGTAAGGTAATCGCCACAAATCCAGTTACTATATATAAAATAATATCATCTACTGAATTATTTTTAAATAATTATTATTAATAAAAATGTTTGTAAAACTGAGATTTGGATAATTAATTACACAGTAAAGTAACAGTATTTGCATTTATGCTATGAGGCTATTATTTTAAGCTGAGCCATTAAATTCCATATTAATATGGCTGCTGAATCTAATGTGTTATGCTATTTTAATCAAGGTCTCTTTCTGACTCACAAATATATTTCACTAAAATTGTCAGATGAGCACTAAGAAAGCAAAACTGAAGCAAAACAAATCCGTGCAAAAATCTAAAATATTATTGCCAATCACAAATGTTGCCAAAAAAAAAAAATGATGAAACTGTGAGGAAGTACCTGTTAAACCACAGATATAAAAATAGCACACATCACCGACAACAGACAGTTTCTGCTCAACAGTTCAACCTCATGACATGATCCCTGACCATCCACATGCCTCACTGGTATCAATTTCAACACTGAAGATAGATGGATCAACTACACTAATGACACCCCCACTCATGCTAACATGTGGCTTTACTAATCCACTCCAGGCCTCGCTCCTGACACCACCTGTGACCTCAGTCAACCAATCCAACATATCTGTCAACACTTACGAACAACACCCTAATACCTAATTGCTTCTCTTACCAAGGGCAACTAAAGAACCACATATCAACAATTTTGTCACCTTTTCACACAATTTTATATATATATATATATATATATATATATTCTGAAAATTGATCAATACACACTGTTGAAATTTTAATCCTTCTTTGTTTTTTTACTTTCCAACCATTTGCTTATTATAATAACTGGTGTCAAACGGCATTTGTTTTTGGTGATTAAAATAAAAAAAAATTAAGAATGTGCAACATTCATTTTTGGGACTGCAATGATGACAATTCTTATCATTTCTTGAAAGCATTATTTTATTTTTATTGTGGTTGATAGAAGAGGTAAAATGATATATGGTCAACATGTACAGGTTCATCAAAAATATATTTTCTCATCCATTACCATTTGAGAAAGAAGAACACATTTAAATAACAGACAATAGGAACATTTTTTTAATCATTTCTCAACAAGCAAATGTGATAATGCCACTGAAACTTAAAGGTGATAATGCCACTGAAACTTAAAGGTGATAATGCCACTAAAACTTAAAGGTGATAATGCCACTGAAACTTAAAGGTGATAATGCCACTGAAACTTAAAGGTGATAATGCCACTAAAACTTAAAAGTGATAATGCCACTGAAACTTAAAGGTGATAATGCCACTAAAACTTAAAGGTTAAAGCTTAAAGGTGATAATGCCACTAAAACTTAAAGGTGATAATGCCACTGAAACTTAAAGGTGATAATGCTACTAAAACTTAAAGGTGATAATGCCACTGAAACTTAGAGGTGATAATGCCACTAAAACTTAAAGGTGATAATGCCACTGAAACTTAAAGGTGATAATGCCACTAAAACTTAAAGGTGATAATGCCACTGAAACTTAAAGGTGATAATGCCACTGAAACTTAAATGTTTAGTGAAAGTGAAAGAAGATGAGAAAACTTTAATCAGGAGAAAAGATAATAAAAGCCTTCCACAAGTGAGAAGGAGAGGAGATGAAACTATTAAAGTAGAACTTACATCTATTTCTAGAGTAAAATGATGAAACCTGACAGTCTTTTAGGTGATTGATTTCCACAAGAAATCTTAGACTAACAAAAGGTTATTTTGAAATTTTCCTATCAACATTCTAGCAGGGAAATAAATGTGAAAAATTTAACCTCTTTGCTGGAAGAAATGAATCTGTGAAAAACAGTTTTAATTATTTTCAACTTATCAAAATTAAAAAAGTCGACATTTTGCTTATAAAATGTACAACATTCAAATTGAATAGAATAGGTAGTTGTTCACTAGATAAACAAGTTTATTTTTCATATCCGTTGAAAAAAGGTTGAGATCTTGAGTAAAGATTTTATTTCATTGACTTATTCTTCAGCAAGCTGTGAATACCGTGTTAAAGTCTGTCTATGAACATTTTAATCTGAAGTATGACTTTTAGGCAGAAATAGTTTAGGCTAGTATCTTCATCTTTGTTGTTTATGTCAGAATGTTTATAATAGGAAGGCAGAAGAACACATCAACTGAAATCTTATAATAAAGACAACAAAGATGAAGATAACTATTTGGATAACGATATTGATTCGTCTGAATATTTAAGACAATAACCAAGCAAAATTTTATCCCATGAATCAAAAGTTTACTTTCTGTTTGAATTTCTTGGACAAGGTGTTATCATGAATTTTATTATTTAAATTTAGACTAATGTCATCTGAAGAAGGCCATACTGAAACACTGTGAAAATAACAACAAAGAAAAGGAGATTATTCTGAATGTAAATAATGCCAACAAAATATATATATTTTTAAATAGATTTATTTTTATTTTAATGTATTATTATCCAACATCTACAGTATTTTTTATCCAAGTGAAGTGGAAATTATTTATTTTTTCAATATTTGCAATATATCATTTTTTTTTTATGGATTAATTCGAAGGCTAAATTGTTTCTTTTATCTGGAAATTTCTTTCTCTTTCTAATGAACCCAAACTTTAAGGGTTGGAGAAAGACGTTTACGGTTTTCCATGCATTTAAATATGGATTTGTGATACATAATTGTAAAGTGCGCAGTATGCAAGTGATACTGATTTGAACAATGAGATGAAGTGAAACGAGGCAGAAGATTGAGAGTGTATCAATAGTGGTAGGGAGAAGGAGGAGGCACTTGTTATTGATAAAGATTGACAGGCTAACAAACATTTGATCTTCTCCCGACTCAGGTTGAAAAACAGTTGGTGTAAATACTTTGAAAAGAATGAAAAAATAAGCAAAAGCATGATTTTTGTTTGCAAAAAAAAAAAAAAAAAAAAAAAAATGAAGCAAGTCATAAAACTATAACTCGTGAAAAAACATGGAGGTAGCAGATGGAAAATAGAAAGGAAGAAGGAAGAGAAGAGATTTAGTGAAAGTAGGAGTAAGATGCAATGAGTATAATGGTCATAAGATCAAATGCTGATATCAGAGAAGAAGCTCGGATAACAGGCATGAAGCTCTAACAGAAGAACCTAAAATTGATCTTATTGTATGTGCTGTATCCCTTCCGATTATGGCTCTCCACATCTTCCTATCCTTTGTAGTTCGTAGTATGTTTTTTTTTTTTTTGCTATTTCTCCTAATCTCTG